ATCAAACCGCGGTCCCTGTGCTTTGCCAAGCTTGTTTCAAGTAGGTGCTTTAGACCACTGAGCCATCTCTCCAGCCCCCCCACGTCATTTTTTATATGGCCTCAAGGAGATGGATAGCTATTGAACGAGACAGGGGCAGGGCTTGGGGGGATAGCTCAGTAGAATAAGTGCTTGCCTGGCAAGTACAGTATCCTCAGTTCAATCCCCGGCACTGGGGGAAAAAGAAAGAAAGACAGGAGCGAAGGACAGTGTGTTTGTCAAAAGATGTAAATCAATTTATACCATAAATGATGCTGGTAAATATACATCCATTTCTAGAAGGAGACCTGTAAGAAGAGTAGGCCTGGGGCTGGAGAGATGACTCAGTGGTCTAAAGCACCTACATGAAACAAGCTTGGCAATGCACAGGGACCTTGGTTCACTACCCCAGCACCACATGCCAGCCAGCCCCACCCCCTGGTGGGCTGAGCTGGCCACACACACACACACACACAAATAAATAAATTAATTAATGTTTAAAAAAAAAGAAGAGTAGGCCTGAGGGGAGACATTTATGTGTTTGAGTCCATTTGTTCTTGTGGTACTGGGACTGAACCCAGGTCCTTCGCATCGAGCTACACATCTGGTCCATTTTACTTTGAGACAGGGTCTCATTATGACCCTAAATTACCCAGGGTGGGTTCAGTTGCAACCATCCTGCTTTTTAGTCTCCCAGAAGGCTGGGATGACAGGCAGGGGCCACCACACCCGGTTTCCTATTTTTTTTAAATCTCGTCTTTGCCATGATATCACGCTCATTCTTACAGGGGATTGAACTCAGGCCATTGCACTTGCCAGGCAAGTGCTTATTCCACTGTGTAATCTTTTCAATTAATAAGTTGATTAAAATTTAAATGTTCGGCACTGCTACTTCTAATTCTTTTTCATAGTTTTTTCCTGGGTTTTGGGTTGTTTCCTCATGTGGCCAGGGGCTGACCAAGCAGCTGAGGACTTTTTCACATCTCCAGAGCTTTGTCCCTGTGCAGTCCCTGTGGTATTCTTGTCCGCAGACTGCAGCCACCTTGGTCTCTCTTGGCAGACCCTCCTTAACTATGCGTTTTCAAGGCTCATCCTCTGTGCGTCACAACCTAGAAATTCTACAAAGATGCTGCGACGGGACAACTACAGTTTCCTTCGTGCATTTCCCATCTCTCTAGGGTTGCTGTCTTCCATTGCTGCATGTGAAGTATTTTGAAGATCATAGTTTTATAGGTTATCTAATTTTGAGTTATTTTAGAAAGAATGATTGGTCTCTGTTACTCTATCTTACCTGGGTTTCTGTTGATTTATTTATCATTCTTACTTTTTTCTATAGTGATTCAGAAGTTATAGCCTTTAATTAAAATTATTCTTTATGTTTTTTATAAGTCATCTCTAAGCTTACAACTATTATGGTTGAATATTTGTTTCCCCCTACCCAAACTCATATGTTGAAATGAATCAACACAATACTATATTATATATAAAATTGGACCAGTATTCTAACAATTTAACAAGTTAAATAATGTATTAATTCTCTTCTATTAAAAACGAGAAATTCAGTATATTTTACTTCCATGCTGGTCCATATTATTTATGAGACATACATTCCAATAACTACTTTTTAAACACTTGCAGTTTATTGAATTAACAGTGAGAAATCAGATTTAGCTGTATGTTCAGTTAATTGCTCACTGCTTTAATTCCATCTTATTTTATATTAATTTTCTAATCCACAGGACACGTGATTAGATAATTTTCTGCCAAGTTGTAACCTTGAGGTCGCCTCACATCTCAGCATCTTTATGTTGTCTCTTATGATCCGCAAGGGCCAGCCCGCTATCGACTGCCTGAGTCTCATTTTCAAATAAAACAATATTTTTCATTCAAAAAAAAAAAAAATGTTCGGCCTGGGCAGTGTATTTGAGTGACAGATCGCTTGCCTGGCCTTTGAGAGGCCCCCGGGGCTAGTGGGTCTGGGACCTTCGCTCAGTTGGTGAATCCCGCGGGCCGGGATCGCCGGCCTCCGCCTGCACCGCGCCGGGCGCTGAGACTTTGGGGCCTGGAGACACGCGAGGAGGGGGCGGTTGCCCAGCAACCAGGGGCCAAACAACAGCGGAACTGGGCGAGCCGGGAAAGGAGGTAAGAGGCCGAGCCGGCCGCGGTGGAGGCGCACTGAGCCAAGCCCCCCCTCCTGCCTTCGCCGGAGGAACGGGTACTGACTGAACCCCAGAGTGGGGATCCCACGCAGGAGAGGGGTGCAGCCGGGTCCTGACTCCGACTCAGCCCCTCCCACTGGGGCACCCGGCTTGGACAACCGAGAGGCCAGGGCGGAGGGGGCGCAGAGCCCTTCTCCACCTCCTGCCTGGTGACTGCTAGAAAGAGAATACGGCTCTGTCCCCTGGGTCTCCCAGGGCCTGGACTACAGCCAGGGGAAGAAGAGAAGAAAGCTTAATAAGTGTGGTGCTGGAGATCAGGGTGGAAACTGGATGAAGGGCTATTTGCCCTGCCAGGCATGCACAAGGCACTTAGCACTACACACACGCACACACGCGCGCACACACACACCTCCATTGCACAGCGGCAGGCAGGAGAAAACCTATCTAAAGCCTCACACAAAGCTGAGCCCAGCAGGGACTTCTGACCGGCAGGCTCCCTGCAGGGTGACCCTGGAGAGGGTCTTTAAGTCGGGAAACAGCCCACTGAAAGGCCTCTCCCGTGCTGCTTTCCCTCCACAAGCAGTACCTGGAAACAGGCCTCCAGGTCCTGGCCTCTGGTGCACCATGGCCACGCTGAGTGTCAAGCCGAGTCAGCGCTTCCAGCTGCCTGATTGGCACTCCAACAGCTACCTGCTGTCCACCAACGCTGAGCGGCAGCGAGATGCTTCCCACCAAATCCGCCAAGAGGCCTGCATCCTTCGCAATGAGACCAACAACCAGGTTGAAGGCTTGAGTCCAGCTGGGCGGGCCATGTGGCAGCCCTCAACCTCAGGCATCCTTTTCATCTGTCTCTGTCTCTTCCAGACCATTTGGGATGAGCATGACAACAGGACTCGACTGGCCGAGAGGATCGATACTGTCAACCGCTGGAAAGAAATGCTGGACAAGTGTCTTACTGACCTGGATGCTGAGATTGACGCCCTGACACAGGCAGGGAGCCAGGGCTTGTGCTGGAACAGTGCTGCAAAAACTGCCTCTCTTGCTCGCTTCTGGGACTGGGAACCCTTAAAGGGGCATGAATGGCATGGCCTTTGGGTCACTGATGGGCCCTCCTGCTAAAGCAGGGATAAAAGCAGTCTTCCAGTGTATGGCTTCATCAGCCCCCTGATCCTTCTCTCTTCTAGGTGAAGGACTCAGCAGAGCAAAACCTGCAGGCCAAGAACCTGCCTCTGGATGTGGCCATCGAGTGCCTGACCCTGCGGGAGAGTCGGCGAGATATTGATGTGGTGCAGGACCCTGTGGAGAAGGAGCTGCACAAAGAGGTGGAAGTCATTGAAGCCACCAAGAAGGCCTTACAACAGAAAATCAGCCAGGCCTTTGAGCAGCTCTGGTGAGAGGAGGCAGTCACATCCCCCTGAGGCTTCATGAGTTGAATGTGGAACACAGGTTTTGTGGGGAATGTATACATGCTTCTTCATTTTTGTCCCTTCTGTGCTCATAGTGGAAACCACAAAGTGTGCACTACCTGACCATTGTCTCAGAATACTTGTCAGGACCCTGCTCTAAGCAGCCATTCTGACTTCAAAGCATGGTATCTGGAGTCCTCCTTTTTGTTTGTTTGATTGATTTTTTTGTTATTTGAGACAAGAGTCTTACGATGTAGTTCAGGCTGACCTTAAATTCACTAGGTAGCCCAGACTGGCCTCAAACTCATGGTGATCTTCCTGCCTCAGCCTCTCAAATGCTGGAATTACAGGTGGCCACCACCACAACGGCTAACTGAAACCCTCTTGCCACCACTCCTGAGTACCTTTGTATGTGAGACTTAGCACATAGCCACATACCTGTGCCCCATGGGGTGTGTGTGAGTACCTGTTGTATTTTCACTTGGGAAAACCTTGCCCAACTGTGCAAGGTCTTCATCTCAACTACAGCAGCAGCTCCACTGTCTTCTGCTGGAAAAGCCATCGCATTTTCCCATTCCCTGATGTCCCTCTGCACAAGGAGGGTGACATCAGGGGCCTAAGTGCTGTCTCCTGATGGCACTGTTCTTTCCCCAGCCTCCTGCAGGAAGTCCGGCAGCAACTCAACTCTGACCATCGGGGCAAAATGGAGACCCTGGAGATTGACAGAGGCTGTCTTTCTCTCAACATCATGTCCCCAAACATCTCTCTGAAGGTCAACCCCACACGTGTCCCTGATGGGTAAGAAGAATGTTTCAGTCACTCTCTCTTCCTTCATCAGCCATGGCCTGCAGCCCCACTATTTCCTGCCACCTGCAGCTCCACCACACTTCAGCAGTGGGATGACTTCAGTCAGTTCAACAAAAACCGAGCAGAGGCTGAGATGAAAGCAGCCACCGAGCTGAGGGAGGCCATAGCCCTAACTATTGCTGAGGTGACCAGAGCCCCACAGCCCACTCCTCCAAGGCCAGTGGAGGGCACTCTGCCCTTATTCTTCTTTCCTAGTGGGTCCTGTGACATTTCTCTTCTCACTTATGCAGCACCCTGATAAGGCCAGGAGCTCAGGGTGTCCCCTGGGTTGGCCTCCTTCTTGTCCTGCAGACCAAAAACGAACTCGAAGCCCAGAGGGTGGCCACAGAATTTGCCTTCAGGAAGCGACTGCGGGAGATGGAGAGTGTGTACAGTGAGCTCAAGTGGCAGGAGAAGAACGTGAGTCCTCCTCTGGGGTGAGCTTCCAGGTGCCCTGCCAGGAAGCCCTGGACTGGGCGCTCTTGCAAGAGTTCTGCTGGTCACTTGGTCCCCTGCAGACCTTGGAGGAAATCGCCGAGCTGGAGGAGGACATCCGGCACCTGGAGGAGGATCTGCACAGGAAGTTGCTGAACCTGAAACTGTGCCATACTCGGCTAGAGTCTAGAACCTACCGGCCCAATGTGGAGCTCTGCAGAGACCAGGTACAGGGCTTCCCAGGGGGTGCACAGGCCTGTTGCTAAGATGTCCCTGTGGTTACCTCTCAGCACATATTCCTGGTGGAGCAGTGAGGCTGGCCTAGAGCAGTGCTCAGGCCCGAGGGCTGGAGGACAGCGCGGCTGACCTGGAACTCCCACACTGCCCCTCTAGGCACAGTATGGCCTCATTGACGAGGTTCACCAGTTAGAGGCAACTATTGCTGCCTTGAAGCAGAAGCTGGCACAAGCACAGTAGGTCTGGGGAGCGGGCAGGAGTGGGGAGACACCGCCCACCAGGTGGGTCCCCTGGGCTAAAGCGGATAGACCCAGCCCAGACCTCAGATTCTAAAGCAGTGCTGGACTGTTAATGCCTATTCCCAGGGATGCTCTGGATGCCCTGTACAAGCATCTGGCCAGGCTGCAGGCTGACATTGCCTGTAAGGCCAACTCTATGCTGTTGGACACTAAGTGCATGGACACGCGCCGCAAGCTGACCGTGCCGGCTGAGAAGTTTGTGCCCCAGGTGGATACCTTCACCCGAACCTCAAACCGCACCCTGAGCCCACTGAAGAGCTGCCAGCTGGAGTTGGCCTAGCGGAGGGGAGCTGAGGGAGGGGTGGAGCGATGGGAGAGGAAGGGAGAGGGGTTGGGGAGGTGATGAACCTAATAAATGTAGAGGTTCTTAGGCCACCCTATTGTGAGGGAGGTAGCGAGGGTGCTTGACCCCCGCAGCACCCCTCCCGCCCACGGAGGAGCCAAGACCTCAAATTCCACGTTCCAAAGGCGACTGCTTCCCTCGTCCTGTCCAGCTCTGCCCCAGCTGGCCCCTTGCCTGCCCTTTGATCCCCAGGGGTAGCCCCAGCCTCGGGTCACAGCGGAATGGCTTCAGGGAAAAGGTGGCCAGGTCAGAGTGGTGTTAGGAGCCCGGGGGCGGGGTGCAGGGCCGAGCGCTCGCCCGCGGGAGGCCGTATCCTAGAGTGACCTCTGAGTTAACACTCGGGAGCAGGGGCAACTCCAGGCCGCTGGGCGGCGCGAGAGGACGGGAGCCGCGCGGAGGCTCCGAGCCACCGGAGGGCGCTGTGGGGGCGCGGCGGCGCCGCCGGAAGTGGTGCCGGGGCTGCGCGGATGGCGGCGGCGGCGGCGGCGGCGATGGCTGCTGCGGGCGGCGGCGGGGCCGGGGCTGCCCGCTCCCTCTCGCGCTTCCGAGGCTGCCTGGCGGGCGCACTGCTCGGGGACTGCGTGGGCGCCATCTACGAGGCGCACGAGACCGTCAGCCTCACGTCCATCCTGCGTCACGTCCAGAGCCTGGAGCCGGAGCCCGGCTCGCCCGGCAGCGCGCGCACAGGTGGGCGGGGCCCCTCGGGAGCGGGCGGGCGGGCGGCGACCCGGGCTGGGGCGACCGCGGGGGCGCGGGCCGAGGACACCCCGCGCTCCGCCTGCGCGCGGCCCGCCCCCACCTGTCCCTCCTGGCCAGCCCCGCGTGAAGCCTCGGCGCGTCCGCCCGGTTCTCCTCGCCGGCCTCGCCGCTCTTCTGGCTCTCGCTTTCCCTCTCTGGCTCCGCTCGCGCCACAGTTCCTCCTCCCAGCTCTTTGCCTGCGCTGTCACTTTCCTGTGAAGCCTGCGCCCTCCCGTCCCGGTGCGAATAGTAAGGCAAGGTGGCCACTGAAAAAAGCCCGAAGAACACCCACGTGTGCCAGGCAGGGAGGGAAGGAAAAGTGGGACGAGAAGGGAAGCAGAAGGGTTATCAACCAAACTTGAGAACAGACTTTCAAGAGGAAGACACTGGGCACCTGTGTCACGCTGCAGACAAGCAGAAGGAAGTCCGGACTCATTTCCAGTGAGTTAAGGATTGGAAAAGGAAGACACAGTATGGTTGGTGCGAAGGGAAGCAGAGAGATTAGCTGTAGTTGAAGCGTAGACGAGATGGAGGGATGGGTTTTTGTTTCATGATTGATGTTGAGGTAAGGAAAGAGATTGTTTAAGGTGAGAAGTGTCGGGCTGGGTAGACAGCTCAGTGACACAAGCGCCTGCCTGGCAAGTGCAAGGTGCTGAGTTCAATTCCTGATACCCACCTCCTCCACCAGATAGTACAGAACGTGAGAGGTGTTTTAGGACCCTTTAGATGCAAGTGACAGGAAACTGGCCAAGACAAAAAGGGAACATGGCTGGCTGGCGTGACTTGAGAAGCCCAGAAGTGGGTTTGGCCTCAGACAGCTGAATCCAGGTCTTTGGCCTGACTGCTAATGCTCGGTTCCTCTCCGTTGCTCAGATCTGCTTTCTTTGTGTGGGCTCCATTGACCAGGCAACCCCTTCTCCTGCCTGGCTCATGTCCTACGTCCATCCCTAAACAGGGATGAGGTGTCTGTGGGTCAGCGTTGTGCTCAAGCTGCATGGGCTGGAACTGAACAAAAAATGGCTCCCTAGGGAGGAACAGGATGCAGCGAATGAATGGAGCCAGTAGATGCTGTCCCATCATGGAGGGAGAGAGGGAATAAGGAGGCACAAGGCTCCTGGAATGGGGCGGCCTTCACCCTGAGCCCGGAGGGAACCTGCAGGGTGCAGAGGTGAAGGAGATGGCCCACCCTCCTAGGGAGCAGGAGAGAAGGGCTTGAGGCTTGAGGTGCCTATGCAGGGGCTGTGTGGGATGTGTGAGAGGGGGAGGGGACTGACTAGGGAGTGTACTTCAAGGACTGGAACCGTCAGGCCTCAAGGAAGGTCAAAGTGTGTCCCTAGCTTATTCCAGTTTGGTGTGCAGAGGCACTGGAGCAGTGCCCCTCTGCAGCCAAGGGGAGAAGGGACAAGGTGGGGTGTGGGGTGGGGAGAAGCCTCAGCTGGGAGGAACCTGATCCAAACTCCCCAGTCGCTTGTGAAGGTATACAGGGGAACAGTGGGTAGAAAGTAGGTGAAGGTAGAAGTGGCTGAGCTGAGAAGAGCTATGAATGCCAAGACAACGGAAGCCAGCCTTGTTGAGCAGGAGAGAGGGAGAAGGAAGGTGGCTGTATGGTAAGGAGGAGGAATGTTCTGGCTACATGTACAGCTTGCACTGGAGCCAGACAGGCATATTAAGATATACTTTGGTGCTAGCTGCAGAAGAGGATAGACAGTTTTCCTTGAGAAATTAGCAAGATGTCACACCTACTTGGAATAAAGAATTGCTGGATCTTTTTTCTTTTTTTTGAGACAGGGTCTCATTATGCAGTTTGGGCTGGCCTTGTGTGCCATTTTGTAGCCCCCAGGCTGGTCTCAAACTTGCAGAGATCCTCCTGGCTCCCGAGTTCTGGGATTATAGGCATACACCACCACGGTGGGCACCGCATCCCGGGCCAAGATGGTGTGCCTGGGCATCCGGGGCTGAGACTGCATGGCATATGGGCCGGGGCTCAAACTCGGTTCCTTGTGTTTGCCAGGTAGGTGCATATACCTCTAAGCTATCTCTTGGGCCCCTTGCTGGAAATCTTGAGGATTCCTACAGCTGAGATTCCTTGGGTGAGAGGCTGATGTGAGGTTGTGGTACACGTGAGGCCTCCAAGAAGGCCGAGTTATGGCCCAGAGTCCTGCACCTGGCCCTCACCCCACCTCTCCCCACAGAAGCACTGTACTACACCGATGACACAGCCATGGCCAGAGCCCTTGTGCAATCCCTGCTGGCAAAGGAGGCCTTTGATGAGGTGGACATGGCTCACAGGTGAGGGGCTGGGGCTGGGGTAAGGCCAGCCAGGCACAGTTACTGCACCCTGGACAGAGGACTGGTGTCTGCATGCGTGGGCCCTTCCGCAGGACCCTGTTTCCTAGGCTGTCACTCTGCTTCCCAAGCACAGAGCAACCCTTTTCTCCATACCAGACTTCTCTCATCTTTTGAAACCCTGGTTCTGCCTCCTCCTGCTCCCAGGTTTGCCCAGGAGTACAAGAAAGACCCTGACAGGGGTTATGGGGCCGGAGTAATCACTGTTTTCAAGAAGCTTCTGAGCCCCAAGTGCCATGATGTCTATGAACCTGCGCGGGCCCAGTTCAACGGGAAGGGCTCCTATGGCAATGGGGGTGCCATGCGGGTGGCAGGCATCCCCCTGGCCTACAGCAGTGTCCAGGATGTGCAGAAGGTATTGGGGGGAGGGCTCCTGGAATTCCCCCCACCCCTTCATGCGCAGAGTGTGTGCACATGATGGCATCTCCTCCTCCCTAGTTTGCCCGGCTCTCAGCCCAGCTGACCCACGCCTCCTCCCTGGGTTACAACGGCGCCATCCTGCAGGCCCTGGCTGTGCACCTGGCTCTGCAGGGCGAGTCCTCCAGCGAGCACTTCCTTGAACAGCTGCTGGGCCACATGGAGGAGCTGGAGGGGGATGCCCAGGCTGTCCTGGACGCCAGAGAGTGAGTACAGGCTGCAGCAGGGCTGCACATGCTCATGTGGGCGGGACTCTGGCATAAGCACATGTGGCTGCCTTCTGTTGCACACCTGGGGGTGGGAATAGACCGTTCTGCCTTGCTGCATTTCAAGGCCCTCAGGGAGCCAGAGAGCCAACACTTGGGACTCTCCCAACCTTTTAGGATATGTATTTTTTTTTTTCCAAATTTTATTTATTTATTTATTTGTGTGTGTGTGTGGCCAGTTCAGCCCACCAGGGGGCGGGGCTGACTGGCGTGTGGTGCTGGGGGATTGAACCGTGGTCCCTGTGCTTTGCTAAGCTTGTTCTAAGTAGGTGCTTTAGACCACTGAGCCATCTCACCAGCCCCTAGGATATGTATTTCTAAGAGGGAGCCTGATGCATCCCTGTTCACTTTTTCTTTTTCTGGATTGAACTCAGGCCCTTGCACTTGCCATGTAAGCGCTCATTCTACTGAGCCATCTCCCCGGTCCCTTCCTGTTC